GGTGGTGAGTGGGGGCCGACTGGCCTGAATTAGCCGAGTCCCTGCTGCCCTCAGGGTGACGGGGGGCGAGCTGTTTGACCGCATCATGGAGCGTGGCTCCTACACAGAGAAGGACGCCAGCCACCTAGTGGGCCAGGTCCTGGGCGCCGTCTCCTACCTGCACAGCTTGGGCATCGTGCACCGAGACCTCAAGGTGCCCGTCCTCCTGCCTGCCCGCCTGGGGCCACGCCCGGCATCCCTGTGCACCGAGGGTCTGGGGGACTTGAGGGTGCCCAGCCCCAGGGGTCGTGCCAGGGCTGACCTGGCACTTTCTCCGGTGCCCGTGTGTCATAGCCGGAAAACCTCCTCTACGCTACACCCTTTGAGGACTCCAAGATCATGGTCTCCGACTTTGGCCTCTCCAAAATCCAGACTGGCAATGTGCTGGGCACCGCCTGTGGGACCCCAGGATATGTGGGTCAGTGAGGAGGGGCGCGCCCTGAGACTCACTGGGGCTTGAGGGGGCTGGGGGACATGGTGCCAGGGGAAGGGTAGGCGGTGGGTCATCCCTGGGGTCGACCAGGCTGAGCCTGGCGGCACTGAAGCCACGGCACGTGTGCGTGCGGGTGTGTGTCTGTCTGTCTCTGGCCCCCAGCCCCGGAGCTCTTGGAGCAGAAACCCTATGGGAAGGCTGTGGATGTGTGGGCCCTGGGTGTCATCTCCTACATCTTGTGAGTGACCGCTGGGAGGCTCCTCTTCTGCCTGCCTGCCTCCTGCTGGGTCGGGGAGGGCCCGGCAGCTGGGTGATTCATGTGTGGGTGCCAGGCTGTGTGGGTACCCCCCTTTCTACGACGAGAGCGACCCTGAACTCTTCAGCCAGATCCTGAGGGCCAGCTATGAGTTTGACTCTCCCTTTTGGGATGACATCTCAGAATCAGGTGAACGTGAAGCTGGCCCCGAGCTCAGGGAGGGGGCAGTGACGAGGGCAGCGGGGACGGGGTGGGCTGACCTGGCGTCCCCACTCCAGCCAAAGACTTCATCCGGCACCTTCTGGAGCGAGACCCGCAGAAGAGGTTCACCTGCCAGCAGGCTTTACAGCATCTTTGGTGAGTGGGGCCCCTGCCAAGCTCTCCCGGGACCAGAGGGCCCACACCCTCAGAGACTCCCCCGCCACTGACCCGTGGCCTCCCCCTAGGATCTCTGGGGACGCAGCCTTTGACAAGGACATCCTGGGCTCAGTCAGTGAGCAGATCCAGAAGAATTTTGCCCGGACTCACTGGAAGGTCAGTGTGGAGAGGGGCCTGTGGACCTGGCTCGAGGCTGTCCCCGCCTCTCAGGGGACAGCCTCGGTTGCCAGTGGCCTCTGTGGCCCTCAGAGTCTTGGGGCCATTGCCGGGGCATGGCCTGATGGCCCTCTCTCCCCACAGCGAGCATTCAACGCCACTTCCTTCCTGCGTCACATCCGCAAGCTGGGGCAGAGCCCGGAGAGCGAGGAGGCCTCAGGGCGGAGGATGGCCCGCCACAGCCACCCTGGCCTCGGGTCTGGCCAGCCCCCCAAGTGGTGACGCCCAGGTGTGCGGGCGTGGGCCCTGCACCCACTGGGAGCTGACCCCCGAGTGAACTGAGAGGAGGGCGGGCTCCGTGTGGCCACCTCGCAGAGCAGAGGACTGAGGACCGAAGGTGGAGGTGGAGGGAAGGAGCCGGGGTTCTGGCAGAAGCAGACGATAGAGGCCAGAGGGAGCAGGTGGCTGCACGGATCATGAGGAGCCTGATGGCAAGACCCGGGGCGGGGCGGGGAGCGCTGCTGCTGAGAACCGAGACTGGGATGGGGGGGGGGCGGGGGCAGGCTGGGGGAGCCTCCTGACCACCCCCTTCCCCGTGCTCCTCTCTCCTCCCCGCTGCCCCCAGGCAGATGCTGAGGCCGAGTGCCCTGACTCCTGGACTCCCTTCCTGTGGGCGGGCCCTTTCAGTCCCCTTTCCCCAGCCCCAGGACCCCGGGCTGGCCTCTGCTGGAAAGTTGGAGATGTGTGGGTGTGGCGCATGGCACTGGGGCAGGAGTGGGTCTCCCCCCTCTGCCACCCAGGCTCCGCCCTCGCCCGGGGGCTGGCGGGGTGCGTCCACGGAGATCCCGCTCCACTGTCACCGCCACACCCGCTCTAGATGCCGAAGAGGCTTTCCGGGGGCAGCTCTTCCCGCACGCTGTTCTGTGGTTTGCTGACTGTGGTGGTCCCGCTTGTGTCGTGGCCCTCGAGTTTTCCCCAAATCAATAAATACAGACAGAGCGATGGGCCAGTGGTGAGCTGGAGGGAGGGGTAAGGGACAGGGATGGGGGGATGAGGGCGGAGGGGATGGATGTCACCTGTGGGAAGGAGACCAAGGAGGCAGGCCCCCTGCCCGCGGGACCCAGCCACGCGACCTCGCCTACGGCCCCCTGAACTTCTGCTCCCTCCCGTCATGGCAGGCGAGCTCCCAAGTTGTTCAAGAATTTCCTGTCCCGGTCCCCCCAAAGCACCGGCGGGAGGCGGCCTGGCTGGCCAGCTCCGCCACCCCAGCGGTCGGCCTGCATGTGGCTGTGGCTCCTTGAGAGAAAACGGAGGCGGCTCAGGCCTTGTGGGCTGCCAGCCGAGGGCGGTGGCGGGAGGCCAAATGGGGGTCGCTGTCTCTGGGCCCCCGGGGGTGGGCTGCAGGACAGGCTGGGAGGGGTTCACGGGCAAGTGGAGGCCCGCTGTAGCTGGAGGACGACCAGAGCCCTGGGCTGTGGCCTCCAGCCTCTCCCTTCCTTCCCCCACTCTTCCGCGGCCCTGGCCAGACAGAGAGGGGTTCCAGCGGGCACCTTCTTGTGCGGAAGCCTGGGGAACCCCGGCCTCAGAAGGTGGAGGCGGGGCTCCTTAGCCAGGAGAGGGCGCCACTGAGGCCTCAACGTCTGTACTGTACTGTGGCTTTGGAACCCCTGTGCTGGGGGCGGCGACGGGGAGGGGAAGACAGCCTAGGACACGGAGGCTGGGTTGGTTACGGCTTGTGGCACGTGGCACGAAGGGCGGCGGCCGGTCCTCCGGCCTGTGCGGCCCCTGACCCTTGCAACCCCACTGTGGGTGAGCCAGGGCTCCGGCGCCCTGCTGGCCAGGACCCCCAAGCCTCTCCTGGCCCTGCCGGGCCGGCCTCCTTCCTTCCTCCACGGGGGAAAGAGCTCTCAGAGTTCTGGGCGCCCCGGTCACCCCTCCTCTGTGGCTCCCTGTCAGCCCCCATTGCGGAGCCTGACCGAGAAGACCTTTCTCTTTGTCAGCCTTTAGGACCTGAAGGGAGGCAGTTAGACCCGTGGGCAGTTAGACCCCAGCGCTGGCCTGGGTCTCGGCGGTGGGGGGAGAGGGGGGAGGACTGGAGCAGCCTTTGGGGTTGGAGCCAGGGGCCTGGCCTCCGCGGAGAAGAATGGCCAGGCGCAGGGCGCCTCCAGGTAGCCGGGGGCGGGCACCGCCCGGGGTGGGCACGCCCGCCCGCTCATTCTCAGGCACACAAATCCCTCTGCAGCTTTCTCCTCCAGCCCCCATCCTGCCCCGTAGTGCCCCATGCGCAGCCCCCACGGGGCCCTGAGCCCAGGGCAGGTCTGGGGGCGGGGGTGGGCAGCTTCCTTTCCTGTCCCCATGGCCACTTCTAGGCCATCCTTCGCTCCAGGCTTTTGGGTCACATAATCCAGTCCTCCCGTGCCTGCTGTTTCTGCCCACGTTCCAGGGGACCGGAGGCAGCCAGCGCCACGGCCAGGTCTCGACGGCTCCGTCTCCTCGCCTCCAATGAGCTGTCTGGCCTCTGCTTAGCTCCCGTTTGGGCCCCGGTCATCCCCTGTCCCGCCACCTCTGACATCCTCACACTGGACTCTCGTGACGCCTACCTGTTCTTGTTTTGTGCATCAGATACTGATTCGGCCTCTACTTTGTGCCAGCCGCTCGGCCCACCTTGCGAGGCACCTGCCCTCATGGAGGCCCTGTGATGGAGGGGTGGGCTTACTCAGATGATAAGAAAGACCTGAGCTGGGCAAGTAGTGTGCTGGCTGCTGAGGGAGCTCCGAGCACAAGTGCCGGAGCCTGCCTTGCCGGGGTGGCCCTGCTTCGGAGGTGGCCACATCATCGCTGCGCTTGGGGCTGCGGCTCCGCCCGTCCTGACCCGGGGTGCGATTTGGCCTCCGAACAGCAGGCGGCGCCATGGCTACATCGAAAAACCGTCCATCAGCCCTCCCTGTCCTTCACCACCTGGGGCAGCTGCTCAAAACCGTTCCTCTCCTCCAGTGCCCCCCACCCCGCACCCGCACCCCAAAATCGGGCCCTGGGAAACTCCTCACTCGGGAGAGAAGTGCTGCGCCGCCCATCCGGGAGCCAGGAGATAGGGGGACCCCCAGGTCCAGCAGAGGCGGCATCCTTTCATCCCCACCCCCCCCCAGGCCTTCCCATCCGAGGGGGCAGTTTGTGAGAGGAAAGTTTTGGGTCGCCTGGGTGCCTAGGCCGTGAGTCTGGCCGCCTGCGAGACAGGAGGGGCTGGTGCGGCCAAAGACAAGAACTGGGGGTGAGGGGGTGGAGGAGCCTGGGGGGCTCTGTGAGAGCATTTCAGCCTTGGGTAGCAACAGGTGCCCAGGCCCGGCAGGGTAAGGGCTGGGCCCTAGTCTGTGAGCGGTGGCGAGCCGCCGGCGGGATAGCAGGTGCTGAGCTTGGACAGCTGGAAGAAGTGGGGCGCTGTGAGCTGGGAATGGGGCCCAGGTGTCGGGGGGACCAGTCCAGAAATGAGAGGTTCCAGACCGCACAGGGCGGGCCACGCACTCTGTCTTGGAGCAAACCTGTGGGTGGCGGGGTTTCTGGAGATGCTCAGCCTGTGGGTTCACGCTCCCGGTGGGGACGCCGGTGGGGGTGGGGATGGTCCTGGGAGGCCTTCAGGGGCCAGTGATAGGCTGGGGGTGGGGAATGAAGGAGCCGTCCCCGGTGGCCCACATGTTTGGGACCATTCGCCGAGAGGGGTTGAACGGCTGGGTTTGGGGGAGAGACGAGACTGGTTTTGGACATGGTAATCTGAGGTGCCCAAAGGGGTGCCAAAGAGACTGTTTCTCATCCTTCTTTGCAAATGTGGGTCCAGCTTTATATTGAGCATCTGCTGTGTGCCAGGCAGTTTCAGAGACCTTCACATGTATTAACTCAACCTCTCTGTATCATCTTCACTTTACATGTCGGGAAACAGGCGGAGAGGCCGAGTGACTGAGCCAAGGCCACACGGCCTTGTGCTTTGCCCCCCTGCCCGCCTCTGTGCAAGGGAGGAGGGCTCGCCGGGAGCGTGAGGGTGTACGTGGGGACTTGGGGCAGGACTGGTGTCAGGGACACATGTCTGGGGGCCATGTGGGACTGGAAAGATGGAGACCTCTGGTAGGGGACTGGATGGGAGGGGAGAGTACGAAGGAGTCGAACCCGGGGGAGAAGCAGGCCCGTTCGGGAGACGAAGGGGCCGGTCGGGACTCAGCCCCTCCTGCCAGCCGCTGCACGGGCACATGGCTGCCATGTTCTCCACCTAATCTCAGCTCCGTCCGGGCCGTCCTGCCTCCATCCCTGTCTCCTTGCCCAGGTGGGCAAGACACGAAGTGCGGAGTATTCGGAGAGAGCACGTAGCCCGGTTTGGTTGATTGAGGGCAGTGGCGAGAAGTGGCTAGAGATGGGCCTGGAGATGGAACTCTCTCAAGAGGGCGCTGGGGAGCCATCGGAGGGCTACTTGGAGGCAGTGCGCCGACGGGATTAGATTTTTGCTTGAAGAGAGGTTTTCAGGATTCTTCAACCCTATCTGGCCCTTGGCGATCCCTACAAAAGCCTCGCCTGCAGATCTTGTCTCCAGGCCTCGTGGGGATTTTGGTAGCCGTCCTCACGCCAGGGAGCCCAGCTTGCCTCCCACGACGCCCCGCGTAGAGGCCCGATGGCTCCTTCTCAGTTTAGCCTTGTTCCTTCAACTGTTGCTTTATATCCTTTAAGTTAGGTCATTGAGTGCAGATGAATTTAGAATCGCTCTATGTTTCAGGGTAGTTGAGTATTTGATGCTTTAATACTGCCATGCTTTGCCCTATGGTCCTTTCGCCTGATAGTAACATAGCAACTATTACTTCCTTTTGGTTAATATTTGCCTGGTATATCTTGTTTAAGCCTCTTCCTTTCAGAGTTAGGATTCGTTTTAGTTTTAGCGAGCTATTATTCACGTATCATAAAATTCACCCTTTCAAATGTACGACGTATTGGTTTTTAGTGTATTTACAAACGTGTGCAGCCGTCAACCACGATCTAACCCTGCGACATTTTCATCACCCCCTCCCCCCAAAACACCCCTGTCGCTGTTAGCGGTCACTCCCCATTTTCCCCAACACCCCCGCTCCCCAAGCCCCCCGGCAGCCACTAACCTACATTCTGTCTCTGCGGATTTGCCTATTCTCATATTCCACGGAAATGAGATCGTACAATACGTGACCCTTTGTGTCTGGGTCCTTATGTTTAGCATAACGTTTTTGAGGTCATCCACACCGTGGCGTTGCGAGAGTACTTCACTTCGTTTTTTA